ATACTTCGCAGCTGTTCTATCGCACATGCATCAACAAATAAAGCAGAAGACGACCAGTGTAGCAGCAGACTCAGCAGCAATAAGTCTCAACATGCAAAAAGGGAAAAGCAAGATTTTCCGATACAACACAGCACGCCTCATTCCAATCACACTTGATGAAGAAGATTTGGAAGATGTAAAAAAACTTTACATATCTGGGCAGCATCATTGATGAACACAGTGGATATGATGCTAATGTGAAGGCGCAGGTCGGAAAAGCAAGAGCACCATATTTACAACTTAAGAAAATCTGGGACTCGAAAAAACTGTCAACCAACATCAGTGTCAGAATTTTCAACACGAATGTCAAGACAGTTCTACTGTATGGGAAGAAAACTTGGAGAACTAAGAAAGCTGTAATCTAGAAGATACAGGTGTTTATTAACAGTTGTCTACACGAAATACTTTGGATCCATTGGCAAGTCACCATCAGCAGCAACCAACTGTGGGAAAGAACAAACCAGATCCCAGCGGAGAAAGAAATAAGGAAAAAGCGCTGAAAGTGGATAGGACACACATTGAGGAAGGCACCGATCTGCCTCACAAGGTAAGCTCTCACATGTAATCCTAAAAACCAAAGGAAAAGAGGAAGACCAAAGAATACATTACGCTTGGAAATGGAAATAGACATGAGAAAAATGAACAAGAATTGGATAGAACTAGAAAGGAATGTTCAAGACAGAGTGGGTTTGAGAATGCTAGTCGGTGGCCTATATTCCATTGAGATTGACAGGCGTAAGTAAGTAAGTAAGTAAGTAAGTAAGTAAGTAAGTAAGTGAGTGAGTAAGTAAGTAAGTAAGTAAGTAAATTAAGTAAGTAAGTAAGTAAGTAAATTAAGTAAGAAAGTAAGGGATCATGAGTCAATTGAAGCTAGACTATCATGAAAAACTTGGAAGTATTGAACAATTGTTTCATCCAATTGTGCAACTCCTCAGTAGTACACATCCATAATCTCACGTTTATTTCTATATTTATTTAAAAAAAAAACGTCTTATCCATTTTTCATTAACCAAATTCATCTTGATTTTATCATTTTATCAATTGAATTGACACAGGTTCTATGGTGTTATCTTGACAAGTAGTTTTATATATAAACATAAATAATGCTAAGATTAACAACATTATGATAACAAATGAGTTTATTTTTGTTTCTATTTCCCCAAGTAAAACAAATGAATTCTCATTTGATAACAATAACAATAATACCCTACTTCTTAGTCTATACATCTATATATATATATATATACATATATTGTCAACTCCTCAAATAATCTAGATTATTTTACAAAATTCGTAGCATTCTTTGACAGTTCCTATTTTTGTACTGTATAATGATGATCTATTTCTATGTTAACTTCTACTCAGTGTTGAATTCATCCATAGATTTTTGAAAAAACAAACAATAATGAATCATTTATAGTAAACAATAGATTTAATATAGATTTCACTTGATATCATAGTAACATTCAATAAAGTTTTGTTTGGTTTTATATTAATATTAATAGAAAATGACATTTTATTCTATTATGGAACATTGTCAAAAGATAATTCATGATTCATTTTGATCATAACTTGAAATCATTGTTAACTGATGATGAAATGGATTTAAATGATTTATCAAGTGCATATATATATATACAAGAATGATTTGTATCAGTCAGTCAGTCAGTCAGTAACAACGTAGAACGTACATAGATCAGTTCAAGTTGCCATACCATATTATCAAAAAGATACAATTGTTCATTCAAATTCCATTGAGGTAGAAGTAGTATAGAGACAGAAAACTACTAGTCTCTAAACTTATCTAGCATGTTAAAAAGCACATCATTGTTTCAATTCGTTTTTATTCATTCTTCTAGTGTCTGAGTTTTGTAGTACTAAACCAATGAATGTTGTATTTTGAATTCTGATCATGAAACTTCAAGATTTGGTATGATTATATTAGTTTTATAAAGTTTAATGTATACTGGATGTCATTTGTATAGAGATACGCCTATTTTCATTTATAATATACCATATATATATTCATATTGATAATAACAGTTTTACATATATACATATTCTTATGTTTTTTTGTTCAGACTTATGATGAATATAATGTGTAGAATATGTAGAATAGTCTATTGTATTTTATTACTTACACTTGTAACTATATACAAACTAATAAGTTTAAAGCAATTAGTTCCATTGATCAATGTTAATTGACGAAAATTAAAAAAAGAAAGAACAAAGATTCTAGTAGAATAGCATGAATTCATTTTATTTCAAAGGTTGTTGTCAACTGCTTATAACCTGTGATATTTAAAATCAAGATTACATAATAAGTTTAAATTATTTACATGAGAGGGTTTGACTAGAAATTATATGGAAGATATAGTAGTACAGTATAGCAAGGGTGTAAATAAACTTAATAGGCTGAATATTATAAATATATACCTTATGTGAAAGAACATTATACAACATTGATTGTGACAACGGTTCAAACGGCCAGAGACAAGTGATTACGTAATTAGTAAACGCCTTTCTTTCTCTTGTCTTGCGGTTTATTAGAACATGTTCAAAAAATTTAAAATATGTCCTCTTTTCAGTTCGGGTAATGTAGGTGATTTCATCAACTGTATTTATAATTTTACGTGTACTTGAGAAAGCGGTCAAACTCCAGTCTTCTGAAACTTACTGAAGTTGTTGCCATTTGGCATGTTTAGATTACATGTATAGGGTTTCCCCACCTGATGTTTTGTATTAAGCAAGTGGGATTCTACTGAACTACTAAGACTGCTTTATTTTTTAGGATTCTGTTAGTTTTTGAACAATATCTGAATGTTACTTTCTTATATTCATGTTTATTTACTACCGATGATGTTTGCAACTTATTTTAAATTTTAGGAGTAACCATTTTTGTGTGAGATATTTTCTACTGATATTCTAGATCCTCTCAAAACTTGTCTTAGTCTTGTTCTTTCAACTTTCAGAAAGATTTGTGGAAAGAATACTCAGAAAATTGTACGCTCATTTACCAAGTATCCTGTAGTCTATCATAAATCTTGTCTATTCTTAGAGTTCGAACAATTTTATAAACATTCTCCGTAGACGGAGTTCTAATGAAAGAAATAAAGTATCTGATGAAATATAATAATCGATCATCATTATCATCATCATCAATTTCAGTATAATTCCAATCATTGAAATCAGTATTTTAATGTATTTTCAAATTAAATTTCTGACGTATATATACATTCTTAATCCAAACACTTAATAAATACATGTCCTGAAATAAGAAAGCCATTCAAATAGGAGAAGAATGAACATAAGAAGAGTGTTCATCCCTACCACAACAAAGTCGATATGATTGTTTCACATTGATGAGTCTGACAATTAGGATCGTTAAACGGTACGTTTCTCTTCATTTAGGATAGTTTATAATTTCAGATGAATAAAGTGTTAATAGAATAAAAATGTATCTTTGTAAAATTATTACATTTACAAAAAAAGAAATACTTCGTTTGTCACATTTTTTATAATTTTAATAGCAAAGTTGAATGTGTTTCATACACATAGTTCCCTTTATCATTTTGAAAAGAGCAAGAACAAAGATTCTAACAGAATAGCATGAATTCATTTTTATTTCGTAGATTCTCGTCAACTGCTTACAACCTGTGATATTTAAAAATCATAATTACATAATGGGTTTAAATTGCTTACATGAGACGGTTTGTTTGGAAGTTATATTGAAGACATATTCGTAAAGTATATCATAGGTGTAAATCAAATTAATAGAGTGGATATTGTAAATATATACTTAATGTGAAGAATATTCTACAACATTAATTGTGACAACAGTTCAAAAGTGGGTTAGAAACAATTGATTACATGATGAATAAACATTGATAGGGATATAGTGAGTAGAGTTCAGTTGGAAGATTATTAATTTGAAAGATAGTTGGAAAAAAAGTAAAATCAACGATGTAATAAATACAAAAGAAAAAAGAAAAAACATTTTTTAAGGTGCAGCGAAATAATATTTGTCACCAAGGCAATAAAAGATTAACAACCGTCTCCTTTTGTATACATAGGTCAGGTTTTTGACGCCTAATGGCAATGGCTTCAGCAAACTTCAGAATACAGGAGTATCGCTGCTTACTAATCACCCTAAAGGATTGTAAGGTATCTACCTGATGTCCTGTATCAAGGAGATGTTTGCACTATTCAGAGTCTTACTTTCCCTTGTTCTAAGACGTTTTGGAACATGTTCAAAAAGTCTAAGATATGCTCTTCTTTCAGTTCGGCCGATGTAGCTGCTTTGGCAGGTGCTTCATAGACATTTTAAATATCATTTCAGTTTTCTTTTTAATTGACATAATGAACCGATTGATGTTAGACCACTATTGAAAAACTTGAAGCACTGGATGACCATTTCGTCCTATTGTGGGACTCCTCAAAAGTTCACATCTACGATCCAACTCGTGGACATTCAGTACTTCCAGGTATTCAATGATAATCTAATATCAATCGGTTGAAGTTCTCAATGAAGAAGAAAAAACTCAACTTAATAATCTCCATAACCTAATATACTGATCATTTCGGTTTGCTTATATTTCATTGGTTCAATTTTTTTCTCTCTCCTAAGTATATCCTAATTCCACCCACATTACTGATTCATTTGCAAAATTAACCAATCAGAATAGTTTCCCAATAAAAATAGGTCATAGATATTACCACTATCTTAGTATCCAAAATAATACATAGAGAATTAAAGAAAAAAGAAAAGAAAAGAGAAGAAAGAAAAAGAAAAGTTTAATCAGTCATACAACACACATTGTTTACATTTATTAAACTTTATAAATGGAATCTATTTATTCAATGAATTATCATGATCATGATTGATACTTAAAACAAAAAACAATCAATCCATACATCATTTTATAATTATTATTATTTCTATATGATTAATTTTCAATGGTATGCTTAGAATTTATTCCATACAATGGAACTGGTATATTACACGTCAACAATATCAATTATTCATTATCATTATATTATTTTATATTCATTTAATTCAATCTAAAACGATACGATTACGTATTAATGAAGAAATACAATTAAATACAAAAATAGGTAGTTTATTCAAATATATACAACAACAAGATGGATTAAATAATTTATATTTTATTAAAATTAATAATACAAATGATGCATCGAAATTATTTCATGTTGATTCTATAACGGGTGATATTATTGTTAAGCATCGATTAGATCGAGAATTATTATGTAATATTAATAATCAATATAATCAATTAAAAAAATATGGTAAAATGATTAAAGAATGGTTACCAAATTTCACTTCTTCGACAATATGTGAATTATATTTTAGTGTGAATTGTTTAAATACAACATTATATTCAAATTATCATTCAAATCGTCATAGAAACAAATTACCTATAAGTAATAAATTAGTAACTATATTTGATATCATTATTGAATTGAATGATATTAATGATAATGGTTGTCAATTTATTCCATCTAATCAACAATTAATTAAAATTCGTGAAGATTCATTTATTAATGATACACGTTTTACATTGAATATACCATATGATCCAGATGATATGATCAATGGGAATTCGGTGAAATCAGATCGTATTTGGATTAATAATGATTCAAATATAATAAATAATAATAATCAAAATATATTAAATTATTTTAAATTACATAGTCTTTCATTATTGAATAATATTACAATATCTAATATATATTTAGAATTAGAATTAATTCAAAAGTTAGATTATGAAAAACAACAAAGTTATACATTTCAAATTATAGCCGATGATGGTATTTCATCAAATGATCATCAATGTTATTTGAATGTAACTATACTTGTAGAAGATTGTAATGATCATATGCCAATATTTGAACAATCTATGTATATTGTAAATGTAAGTGAAGATACACCTATAGGTCAATTCATATTACAGATTAAAGCTAATGATGAAGATACTGATGAAAATGGAAAGATAATTTATAATTTTGCATCATATTCAGATGATAATGATGATAGTAATTATTTCTATATTCATTCAAAAACCGGTGAAATAAAATTACAAAGACGATTAAATTATCGTTTAAAATCTAGTCATTCATTAAAAGTATTTGCTAAAAATCCGGAAAACACTACATCAGGACAAATAAAATCATTTCATACCTCAAAATTATCAACTACTCAGGTTATAGTAAATGTGATTGATGTAAATGATCATTTTCCTCGTATTCGTATTATATCACCTACTGGTTCTAAAACTTTAGAATTAATTGAAGAAACACCACCTGGACAAGATATTGGAATTGTAGATGTGTTCGATGGAGATACTGGAATAAATGCACAAGTGAACTGTAAATTAACTAATCAAACTATTCCAAATGTTTTACGCTTAATTTCAGTTGACAATGAAATGTCAAATTCTAATCAAAAGTATAAATTAACGCTGCAAAAACTTATTGATAGAGAAGAATTTCCAATCATTGAGTTTAATGTAGTTTGTTGGGATGGTGGAACGCCATCTTTATCAAGTAATTTGACATACAAAATCAAAGTATTCGATATTAATGATCATGATCCAGTCTGTGATCAAGATAATTACACAGTTGATGTCATGGAAGATTCAAGTCCGGAAAGAATAAAAAATAACTTTGAATTTCTCACCATTCATGCTACTGATCAAGATGAAGGTCGTAATGCAAAACTCCATTTTAGTTTAGATCAAGAAACTCCAACGTATATAATGAATTTAATCTCGGTTAATGCAACTTCTGGGACACTTAGTACTATGGGAAATTTAGATCGCGAGAAGTTGACTACATTCGATGTGACATTAATTTGTTCAGACCATGGTGAACCAAAACGAATGACTAAAGTGAAGATACATGTTAATGTATTGGATTACAATGACAACTCACCTACATACTCTCAACCATATTTTGAATTTACTATAACAGAAAATAATCATGTAGGTCAGCTAGTTGGTAATTTTCAAATTACTGATGACGATGTTGATAAAAATGCAGAATTAATTGTTCAAATTGAACAGAACACAGAACAGGCACATGTTTATCTTGCATATTTCGGTAATAGTTTAGGAATACAACCTGATATTGAACAATTGAAATTACATTCAAAAGATCTACTGATTTCTTCCAATTTACAAAAAACAAAACATATTGAATACATTCCACATTTTAAATTACATTCACAAAAGTTGGCCAGAAAAAATATTTCTTATTCTAACAGTGAATCAACACTTTATGATGTCAAATTGTATATAGACTCTGTTATTGATCGTGAAGGATTAATTATGAAATATAAAGATATAGTTTCTGATATCATTCCACATTATAGATTACTTGAACATATCAATCATTTTTATTATGATAATAAAATATCTCAACACTCAAGTAAAACAAACTATTCTATAATAACACCAATTATATTGTTATTAATCAATACACATGATAAAGGTATTCCAAAATTATCTGAATATGTATCAATACGTATTCATGTATTAGATGAAAATGATAATTCACCTCGTTTTATTTATCCTGATCCAACAGATGTAAATAGAACAAAAACTATTGTATCATATAAAGAACCAACAGGATATGCATTTACACAGGTAAGAATGAGTATTGGTGTACAGATAATATATGTATTAATATTGTATAACTTATAAATTACATTTAAATATTGAAATGAGAATGCTGAAAATACTGTAATCTGGTTAGGGCTGTGGATACTGTACCTTATAGTCTTTTTGATTAGCTGAGAGAATTTTGAGTCATTAACTTTTATTTTCGCTAAAGCTGTCGTGCACGAGTAATGCCAAAGTGTCTCATAATAGAATCTAATGTATTCAAGTTTTTAATATTGGTGTGACAAGTATCAATTTGTGATCTGAACTTTACAAATTCCAAAGTGATCTTATAAAATGTTGGCTTATTAGCTTGTGTTCATTTTCAGTCCTAAATATCAATGGAAAAATTCAAACAGACGATCGATAAACGAATCAAACTTCAACTCAATATAGAAGCCAGTGTCTATCTAGACACAATAGTTAAATGTATAACGTGATGACGTTTGAATTGAACGGTACTGGATTTGAGCCCCATAGTGAATATCAACCTTATAATTTTAATATATCCAGCTGACGATTCTCAAAATAGAACGTACTAGATTCCACTACTAGCCATCATTCATCTTGATTTATACATTAACCTTATTTTACCAAATAGCTTTATACATTTAAATGATCATTTAAATTATATAAGTTACATATAAAATAACTATTGAAGAAACATTAAAAGTACAATATTTACAAAACCTTGTTAAACTTATCAGAATGTGTTATTTCCTTTCTTAGTCAAGTAATGTAGTGATGATTATTTAGAAACTCCATGATACTATTCAGAAAGGTTATAGAAGTTGTAACTGATTTTGTAATGTTTCTTTGATGACTTATTAATAACTGACATGATTGTTTGCTGACTATTGTAAGGATCCCGATCATATATTACTCAGTAATCTATTAATAGAATGAAAAAGCTGTCTTATGATTCCTGCTTTATAAAAGACATGTTACTTTAAATTTTCACTCCTCATTCCATTTCAAATGAATATTATTTTAATTGGATTTCTACTAGTAAAATACTCAAAGGCATTAAATGAGACGCTATCTCTCATAATTGAAGAAAACGTACAATACAGTAGCTGAAGATCTATGAGAAGGCGATTCATATTTGAATATTTATTGTGAACTAATTCAGAGGAGTAAATACAATTTGAAGATTTACCTCTATGATTACCGTTTGAAATGTTCTATTTATTGAATAATTCTTAAGATATGGATTATTCTCATTATTGGTGTTTTTGGCTGCAAATGAATAGCCTGTTATGGAATATGTTCACCTTAATCCTGTCATGAAGTTATGTCCTTAAGATCAATAACAGGAAGATTTAAGCACAAACAATTCAATAAACTTCACTATAAATTCATGAGTCAATGGTTCATTTTAAGGGATAGAAGTTTGATTTGAATCTTGTAGTGAATATCTACACTGGCATCAAGGCGCATCAATCTGAATTGTCTATAATTGGACGAAACCTACATTTTGTATTCCACTACTAGTAATTATCTAAATATGCGTGAAACTTCTGAAGATAACACACATGATGATATAAAGAGTATATGCTAGTATATTTATCCCTAAGACTGAATTTTTCAGTGTAGTGATTTGTTACAATAAACTTTCCCTAGACTATAATCATTAGGAATAATAGTTTTTCTAGCGGGATTAAACTGTATTCTTTTATCTATACATTAAGTAGAAAACTCAAGTATTCATCGTTTCAATTAATTTGCCAACTGTTAATTAACAGTGTTGTAAAATGTATCATGGCATTGAACTTCAATAATTTAATTTAATGATGCATCATTTAGGTTATCAATTATCCCAGTAACTATAAGGCAATATAAGTATTAAATCATCTCTAAATGCGTTTAGTTTTCTAGTGGGCAACATAAATCGTTTAATATAACTCCATTTTATTTACAGTTGAATAATTCATGAATCCACATGATTTAATTCATCTTGAATATGTTAGTTTGTTATAAGATGTAGCATGGTTCAATTAGGATTTTGATATTTACATAATTTACTGAAGAGATATATTCGGAACAGAAAGTGACAAATATTTGAAAGTAAAATGAAAGCTTTCTAGATATACAAAGAAACATCAGAAAATTGCATCACAACCTAATAGTCTAATTTCATCCATATGAACATGATTCCTGAACGTAACTATGTTAGAAAAAGTGACTAATCATTCGCCTCGTAGATAAACTAATTTGAGAACTCTTAGGATTCGCTTTAACTATGGGTTTATTGGCGTGAACTATTTCTGACTAAATATGATGATAAACAAAACTCATCAGTTAATATCAAACGACTGTTTTTCATACAGCTGATTACAAGAGTGTTATATACTTTTATACTTTTAAACTATCGTAAAACTAAATATGAGGACAGCTATTTCATCGAAATTAGAATAAATCCCATCAAAAACGTATATTTATCTAGGCTGTCACACTTTACTTTAATATGGAAGAGAGATATTAGAAAATCAAGAAGAGAACAAGCTAAAAGAAGATCCATAACAATAGCTATTGTGGTTCAAGAAGAACGGATGAAATATTGAAGTTATGAATTACGAACGTATCAGGAATATCATAAAAATTGAACTGAGAATAATAATTATGGAAATAGATTGGGATTGGAAATGAATCATATTCAGGAAAAGTGAGGAAACAAGAGTGATTTATGAAACTAAATTAATAATTGAAAACAATTGTATGGATTAGATCTACACTAAGATTAAACAAATTTATCTTTCTATGTAGCGTTTCGTTGTGTATGACAAATGTAAAGTAGAAGAGACACAAGCATACTGCCTTTCGTAACTTCTAAAATAATTGAATCGTTGATACTGACAAACTGTTCTACGATATCACTTTTCACCAATTAGTTCACCCGTTTCTTGCTTATAATGAAAAGTGTTTCTGGACTATTTAGCAAACCAATTCTCATAAAATAACTATTACATCTCTCCATAATAACAAGTGAATTTTGCATTATACATTGAAGAGGTCGAATGCGAGAAATTGTTTTCAATGTTGTCACTAAAGATAGGTCAACTTGTGAACATCAATTCTAAAGTTACTGGGAAGAATCATTTCTAAAATAGTTTGAAATCCTTCCCATCAAAATGTCTGTTATTATACCGCATTTAAAGTTGATATTCATATAGATCATGGTCTTCGGAGGTTTAATTTAATTTTATTATCGATAGATCTCCGTTCTGTGTTTTTCTGAGAAAAGTTAACAACTTTTCTATAACTTCAGAAGTTCAGATTGGTAGGGTCAAGATAAACAACCCAATTTCTCTTTCTGTCTGTTGGAACATCTTATAATCAGCTGGTTATGCGCTAGAACAGTTCTCCATTTCATTTGTTCATCAGAATATATATATATATATATCCTATAATTTTGTATGCTATTTGGTTGATTTCTTAAATCTATACAATGTTCAAACTTCTTGCTGCTGTTAAGTATAAAAACCTGAGGTCTAAAAATAAAAGACTTACTATCATATTGTGGATTATAACCAGGAAGTCTGAACAACCTACGACTAATCGTTCAGTCACTGACTTCACGAACAAGTGTCATATTTTATTATTACTATCATCATCCTTTAAATCTTTTTTGAGCTGTTCATACGAAAGGCACGTCGCAATTCAGGATTAACACTTCCTAGGAAGTCAGGCGATTTCGTGGATTGGTTGAAGTTATATATTAAAACCGTTTGATGTCGACCGGCTCAGTGGTCTAATGGTTAAGCGCTCGAACGCGAGACTGATAGGTCCTGAGTTCACCGTGGATGCACACTACTGAAGAGTCCATACTAGGACGAAACGGCCTTCCGGTGCTTCCAGGTTTTCCATGGTGGTATAGCTTTAAATGACTCATGATTTCAAATATTGAAATTTCTAAAATTTCCACAAAACCCCTCCTGATAAAATTATATTTTCCCGAAAATTGGAAATATTAATGAAACTTTCGTTTATATTCGTTGCATTAGTATGTTAGTCTCAATAACACTTTGATTGTTCGACAGAATCTGTAGTGATATAACGTTCATTTATATCAAAATTTAGAGTAGAACATTCGATTTTTTCTCATGTTTTAAATAATCCACTTTACCCAATTTCACTATCAGAGTCACATATAATCAGAAACGCCTTCGTAACGTCTACCAGTCACAAATAAACCTAGCTCCAGGGTTTCGTATACCATCAAATTAAAGGTATCATTTGTTAGTAATTCAACACCCAGTGCAACCAATTAGTGCGACAATTATGAATGACTTCATATTCATCGAATGGAACCAATCGTTACATTATATGTATCAATGCCAAAGTTGGGCATGTTAGTTTCAAATAAATTGAGTAATGGGTAAAAATCATCATATCGTTTGAAACGAAACAAAGAAAGATGTTCGGTAAATTGGTATTTTTCTGTATATTTAAACACAGTAACCAAAATGCTGGTCTACAATAGAGTATAAAATTTACCTGGCTGTAGTAAACGACAGTTAATTTTAAAACATTCATAGAAGTTCGGTAAATATTTGTTTCTGTTAATCCATTTGTTTATGTTGTCATTCCCTTGACTGAAGAAATATTAGCAATCACCATCTCTCACTCCAAATAAATATCCTCGTTATAGACTGAAATTTAGATTACTTAGTAGGATTTTTTAATTAATTGTAACTACATTAATTTAAGTTACGGCATGTTGACTGATAATAGATACCATAAATTTATTCAACATTACTGATCAACCGATGGTTAGAGACCCTGAATGACATGGCTCAAAATCGTTTGCAACGGCGCAGGTGCGTCCACTCTTTGTGTTCTCCCAAATTCTAATCTTCTGAATTCTTCATGTCCTTTTTTTCCTCTTTCCAAATTTATTTCACTGAATTATACTCTTTAAATAACATCTCCAAACCCTAATCTTCCCGATCACTGCTCACACTCTTGCTACCTCTACCACTACG